ATGTTAATGGTCAGTTGTTGTTGGCTGTTGTTGCTTCCCTGGCCAAATGGCTCCCTTTAGCATCTCTTGTAAGGTTGGTCTGGTTTTCACAAATTCCTTTAATTTCTGCTTATCTGGAAGTGTCCTAATTTCACCATCATATTTGAGTGACAATTTTGCTGGGTATATAATTCTTGGTTGCAAATTTCTCTCTTTCAGTGTTTTATATATACCATCCCATTGTCTTCTCACCTGCATAGTTTTTGTTGAGAAATCCGAACTTAGTCTTATTGGTTGCCCCTTGTAGATAACTTTTCGTTTTTCCCATGCTGCTCTCATGATTATTTCTTTGTCTTTGGTTTTGGTGAGTTTGATGATGATATGTCTGGGTGTTTTTCTTTTGGGGTCTATTCTGTTTGGGGTTCATTGGACTTCCTGAATGGATATATTCTCATCTTTCATCACACCAGGAAAATTCTCTTCCAACCAATCTTGTACAATTTTCTCTGTGGTTTTATTTGTCTCTTCCTGTTCTGGAATTCTGATTACATGTAGGTTATTCCTTCTGATGGTATCCCACATGAACCTTAGGCTTTCTTCATTTTGTTTTGACCTTTTTTCTAATTGATCCCTTTCCAAAGAAGTGTTCAGGTATTTGCCTTCAGTCTCTCAAATTTTGTCTTCCATTGATTCAATTCTGCTTCTTTGCCCATTCAATATCTTAACCTATTTCTGAAAATTGAGTATTAACCTTCTGGATTTCTGTGTGAAGATTTTGTATCATTTCTAATTTTTCATTTATTTTGTCATTTTGTTCTTGTATTGTCTTTCAAAATTGTTCTAGGATTTTCTCTGTGTTTTCCTTGATCTGTCTCTCAATCTTTTGAAGATACCTAAATATAATAATTTTGAATTCCTTATCAGGGAGTTCCAATGCTACATCTTCCTCAGGAATCTGTATCCTGGTCCCTTGTTTCTCTTGCTTTATCTTGGTTCCTTGTGTGGACTGTGATACTCTGTTATCACCAAGGCATTGTGATGTTTTTGTGTTTATATTTAATTGGTGATTGTATGTTGGAGTGACTTGCCCACGATTTTCATTCTATTTTGTTTGTATGTTATCTATGCAAGCAGGGTACTGTGCTCCTGTATTCGCTAGTTGGCAGCACTTATACACTCACCACCTATCTCCTTTCCTGTTGTCAGCCTCTTGTATGTCCTTGCTGACCTTGTCAAACAAAGCCTATTCTTAGGTCCCTGGAATCCGAATGAGAATGCTATCACTTTAAAATCCAAAATGGTTGCCACTTGTAAAGATTCAAAATGGCTGTGCCCTTGGTCACTTTAGATATCCAAAATGGCCGCCACTTATGAACATTCAAAATGGCTGCACCCTCAGTCACTTTAGCTATCCAAAATGGCTGCTGAGTGTAAACAATCAAAATGCCTGCGCCCTCTGTGCAGTGGAAAGTCAATAGCTCTGGTTGTCTCCCTCCTTGCTGTTTCCCTTCCTAGTCATAGGCCACGAGTGAAGTCGTCCCTGCAGCCCTTGGTGACCAGGGCCAATCTTTAGGTCAATTCTCAGGTCCCAACACCACTTGGAAATATTCAGGCTATTGGTCCCGTCTGAGTAGCTGACAGTCCCCAGCTCCAACTGTCTCTGTACTCACTGTTTTCGTTCAGGTTTTTCCTGTAGGTGGTGCCTGATCTACTTCTGTATAGTTCCTTTCAGAGCTCAGGGCTCCAGGATTATCTTCTGTATCTCTGTCGATTGGTTTTTCTTTTCTTTGTTGAAGAAGGTCTGTGTCGCTTGTCTGCATGCATATTCCTCCATCTTACCGGAAGTCTGAAAATATTAATATTCTAATTCCATCATTGATTTTATACTTACTGGTTGTTGTTTTCTACAGAGAAGACATTTTCTTTTTCAGCTCTTTGTCTACCCTGAAACACAGATTATACTGGAAACACAGGCTGAATGTTTATTCTTTTCCTTTACTTACAAGTTTTCAGTAATAGTGAGTTGATGAACTACCAACCTCCAAGGATGCCCAGTGAATTTTTCCTTTGTTACTATTATTATGAACTTAAGAGGTTTTGACGTATTTGATGTATTATAATCATCTGTAGTCATTTAATCATTGTTCCTTTTAATGCTTGAGTTGTCCCATCTTTGGCTACTAGGAAACCCTTCAAGTTAGCATCTATGGCCTTTTGATACAATCCCAATAATCTTTAGTAGATTTTTTTTTCCTTTCTATTATGATAAGTAGGAGCTCTGGTAGCATAGTGGCTAAAGCACTTGACTGCAAACCAGAAGGCTGGCGGTTCAAACCCACCAGCCACTCCTCGGAAGGAAGGTTGGGGTCGCTATGAGTTGGGGCCGACTCGACGGCACATAACAACAACAACAACATTATGATAAGTAGCATAGTGGCTAAGACACTTGCCTGCTAACCAGACGGCTG